TCCTGTACTTTATATGGGACGCCACCACAGCATGTCTTGACAAGCAGTGTGTTGGTCTGCGCTGAGATCCGAACCTGTGAAGCCCGGGCCGCTGAAGTGGAGCACATGAACTTAATTGCTACGCCACTGGGCCAGCCCCTGCTGAGTATTTTTTAAAATAGACAAATCAGGATGGTCTCTATCCCTTTGTAATGACTGTCTTTTTGGGAACTGTGATGGTTCATTACGGTACCCAGATATTTGGTCAAACACCATCCTAGATATTTTTGTAAGGTATTTTTTGGATGGGATTAACATTTAAATCAGTAGATATTGAAAAAAGCAGATTGTTCTCCATAATGTGGTGGGCTTCATCCAGTCTGTTAAAGGCCTTAAGAAAAAGACTGACCTCCTCCAAGTGGGGGTGGGGGTGGGGATTTTGCTAGCACACTGCCTTCAGATTCAGACTGCAGCTCTTCCCTGGGTCTACAGCCTGCCTGCTTACCCTGCAGATTTTGGATTTACCGGCCTCCACAATCATGTATCGCATGAGCTAATACCTTAAAATCTGTCTCCCTCTTTGTATACATGTCGTATTGGTGGTTCTGCTTCTCTAGAGAACTCTAATACAGGAAATTCACTTTTAAAAGTTCCTGCTACTGTTGCCTAGGACTTCGATGAGTGAAAAGTATTTTCAAACATAACTTTTGCCGTTGTTTACTTTTATTAATTTATATATGGCCTAATTTACATATAGTGAAATATACATTAGTTTTGAAAAAGCATACCTATACCCATGTGACGCCTATCAAGATACAAAACATGTCCATCACCCCAGAAAGTTCCCTTAGGCACATTTCCACTCAGTCTCCCTGACCCTGAGAAGCAGCCACTCTTCTGATTTCTATATTCACAGGTTCATTTTGCCTGTTCTTGAACCTCCTATAAATGGAATCATCCAGTATGTAATAACCTAGGTCTGGGTCATTAAGCATAATGTTTTTGAGATTGAGCTATGTTGTTTTTGAGTATCAGTATTTTGTTCCTTTTTATTGCTGAGTAGTATTCAGTGTATGAATACACCAGTTTGTTTATCATTCTCCTGTTGATGGACACTTGGGCTGTTTCCAGTTTTGGGCTAACATGGATAAAGCTGTTACGAACATTCTTGTACAAGGCTTTTTGGGAATATATGTTTTCCCACTTCTCTTGGATAAATATCTAGGAGTGGAGCTGTTTGGTTCATAGAGTAGACTTATGTTGAACTTTTTTAAATTGTTTGTTCCATTTTGCACTCCCACTGGTAGTATATGAGAGTTCCAGTTGCTCCACATTCTCACCAATATTTGCTGTTGTTTGTCTTTTTCATTTTATCATTTCTAGTGGGTGTTCAGTAGTATCTCTTGCATTTCTTTGATAATTAACGATGTGGAACACTTTTCCAAGTGCTTATTGACCATTCAAGTATCTTGCTTTGTTTCTTCATGTCTTTTTCCCTTTTAAAAATTGGGGCTGTTGACTTGTAGGAGTTTATATGTTCCAGATAAAAATCCTTTATCAGATATATGTGTTATCAAGATTTCATCTATTTTCTTATGGTGTCTTTTGATGTGCACAAGTTTTAAATTTTTAGTAAGTCCAATTTATCAGGTTTTTCTTTGAGGTTAGTGCTTTATATGTCCTCTCCAAAAAGCTTGCCTACCCAGAGATCACAAAGATAGACTCTCTTATGTTTTCTTCTAGAAACTTTAGAGCTTTAGCTTTTACATTTAGGCCTGTGATCCACCTTGAATTAATTATTTTGTGTGGTGTGAGTTAGAGGTCAAGGTTCTTTTTTTCTTTATGGATATCCTTTTGTTCTAGCACCATCTATTGAAAAGACTTTCCCCACTGAATTGCTTTGGCACCCTTGTCAAAAATGATTTGACTGTAGGGGCTGGCCCAGTGGCGTAGTGGTTAAGTTCACATGCTCTGCTTCGTTCGGCCTCAGAGCCTTACAAAAATAGACCTCAGGTATAGCTTGTAGACTACTGCATATTATCTGCAAATATAGTTTTATTTCTTCTTTACCAATTCTTTTGCCTCTAATTGATTTCTTTGTTTAATTGGTTAATACTTCTAGCACAGTACAGAACAGTTGTGGAGATAGTGAGCATCCGTGTCTTGTTCTTGATTTAGTAGAAAGGTCTCTAGCGTTTTCCCATTATGTAAGATACTGGCCTTAGGACTAAGGTATATATTTTTTATCATGTTAAGCTCGCATTCATCAATTGTGATTTCTTGGGCTGGCCCCGTGGTGTACTGATTAAGTGCACGTGCTCCGCTGCTGGCGGCCTGGTTTGGATCCCACGTGCACACCGATGCACTGCTTGTCAGGCCATGCTGTGGCGGCATCCCATATAAAGTGGAGGAAGATAGGCACAGATGTTAGCCCAGGGCCAGTCTTCCTCAGCAAGAAGAGGAGGATTGGCATGGATGCTAGCTCAGGGCTGATCTTCCTCACAAAAAAAAAAAAAAATTTCATCAACTGTGATTTCTTGAGTGTTTTTATAAGGAATGGGTTTTAACTTTGCAAAAGGCTTTTTTAGCATCATCAAGATAATCATCGAATTTTTCTTCCTTGGACTTTTTAATATGGTTTATTCCACCAGGTTATGGCCTATTATTTTCTTACTGTGATGTCGGATTTTGTTTGCTAATATTTTATTTAGAAATTTTGCATCAATACTCATAAGTGATATTGGTCCTTCTGTGTTTTTCTTTTATTCGTACTCATATCAGATTTAGGTGTCAGTGTTATACATTATAAATGTATAAACATCATAAAAATGGTAATTGTTCCTCAATTTTCAATGCCTTGGAACAGTTTATGGAGCATTGGAACTAGATGGTTGAAAAGCTGGCTTGAATTCCTCTCTGAAACTATCTGGGCCTGGTACTTTTTTTGTGGAGTAGTTTCTTAACTTTTTCTAGGGAAATTGGTCTGCTTAAGTTTTATATCTCTGTTTTCTGTTTTGGTAATCTGTATTTTCCTAGAAAAGTATGCATTTCATTTGGGTTTTCAAATTTATTAGTATGCAAGTATGTAAAAAGTAGTCACATGTGTTCTCTTTTGTATACTTGTATTCTCTTCTCCACTCCTCTCCTCCCCACCTTTCTTAATCAAGTTAGCTAGTGGTTGTCTTGTTAATTTTCAAAAAACCAGATCTGTGATTGTTTAAATTAGGTCTATTTTGTTCTGTTCTCTATTTCATTGATTTCTGCTTTCATCTGTAATATTTCCTTCCTTGTGCTGTTTTACTTTGCTCTCCTTTTTTACTTGTCATTCTTTTATTTTACTTAAAAAAATGTTTATTACTATGGATTTTCCTCTTATCACCACTTTATATGTATCCAAGTTTCTGACATGTAGTATTTTCATTATTTAAAAAAAATTGCCGTAATTTTTGTATTTCCTTTTTCACCCACGAGCCTTTTAAATAGAAGGCCTTTTGATTTCTAGGTAGAAGGCCGTTTTGTTTTGTTGTTGATAATTTCAAGTTTTACTGAATTATAATCAGAGTATTATTTGTAATATTTCAATTTTATAGAACTTTCTGGTATTTCCTTTGTGACCTGATTATCTTCATTGATCATTTTGTTTAGGTCTTTTATATCAGTTTTTTGTTCAATTGATGTGTCTCATACCGAGTGGAATGTTACAGTCTCTTATTTGTGTATTTATGTATCTTCTTGCATCTCTTGTAGTTTTGCTTCATAAAGTAGTTACTATGTTATTTGGTGCACAGTATTCATAATTTTTATATCATTGTGAATTATAGCTTTTGGTGTTAAAAAGTGCCTTTTTACGTTTAATGCTTTTTGTCTTGGATTCTGTTTTTTTCTTACATCAAAGAGGTCTTTTTAAAAATTGTCTACTTGCTTGAAATACCTTTGTTCATATCTTTATTTTTATACTGTCTGAGTTTCTGTTTCTTGAATACAGTATATGATTGGGTCTGGCTTTGTAAGCCAAATTGAAATTTTTTTTCTTTTAGTGGCTGGGTTAGGTCTACTCAGATGTATTTTTATGACTAATACTTTCAGTCTCAACTTTGTCACAATATTTTATAACTGTGTATTTTATTTGCTATATTCCTTTTTCTGTGATATGTCTTCTTTGCTCTTTAATTTTAAAAAATATTTTGTGGCATTTAAGAAGGTTTCTATTTTTCTTTTACTCATCTATTATTTAACCCTCTACTATCTGCCAGTTGCTAATGGCGTTCCTTAACTGCCACTTAAGCCTACACAATGGTTTACTGATTCTCTTTTCCTCTCTCCCTCTCAATGTTTGTTACGTGTAACATTTGTACACTGTCTTCTACCTCACCTCAACATTTGTCTTAGTAATATATTTGGATATATTAAAATCCTCACTATCAGTTCTTTGGCTGTAGTTTTTGCAGTTGTCTCTTTGGTTATATAAAGCTTATTCTCTGAAGGGCTCTTGAGTGTTAGGTTCTCGTAGGTTGAAACAACAGGGCCAAGGCTGTCATAGGTTTTCTCATTGTAAATTCTGTGCCTTTTCTGCTGCACCTTGTTACCCTTTTTGATACATACTGAATGTCCAAACCAGCAAACTTCCATTAGGTTTGTAGTGAGTGTCTTTAAAGTGATATAAGGCATGAGCTTCATAGTTTGGTTTGGGTGGAAGGTTAATTGCGTTTCTTGTTGCTTTTTTTCCTTTTTTCTTTTTGCTGAAGATTTGCCCTAAGCCTAACACCTGTTGCCAATCTTCCTCTTTTTGCTTGAACAAGATTCACGCTGAGCTAACATCTGTGCCAGTCTTCCTCTGCTTTGCATGTGGGTTGCTGCCACAGCATGGCCATCAACAAGTGGTGTAGGTCTGTGCCCAGGAACTGAGCCCAGGCCACCGAAGCAGAGCACACCAAACTCAACCACCAGGCCACGGGACCAGCCCCTTCTTCTTGCTTTTTAAATGTTGTTTTACTGATTTTTCCTTCTCTCTTATCTTACAGGACCAAGCCATATGTCATTCTATGTTCGAACCCACAAAGGGTCAATACTTTCTCAGTGGTCTCTCGGCAATGGCACCCCAGTCACAAGTAAAGGAGGGGACTATTTTGTATTTTATTCCCATGGACTTCAGGCCTCTGCATGGCAGTTCTGGATAGAAGTACAGGTGGGAATTTCCCAGCAAGGCTGGTACCATTGATCAGGTTCCCAGGTGGTATTTCATAAGAACCTTGGGATCAGTATTTTGCCTTCACAGAACTAGAGAACTAACTAATTTTCTCTGCCAGGTCTTGGAAGAACAGCCTGAAGGAATGGTCACTGTTGCTATTGCTGCCCACTATCTCTCTGGGGAAGACAAGAGATCCTCCCAGCTGGATGCTCTGAAAGACAAGTTCCCAGACTGGACATTTCCCTCCGCCTGGGTGTGCACCTACAACCTCTTTGTGTTTTAATCTTGTGGATGAGCTCTAAGTACATGCCAGTGGGATACTCCATGTGACATGGTTTCTCCCTGTGTTTCATGGATGTTTGTAATATGTCAGTGAATTTTAATGAGCATATGTTCAAAGAGCTTTGTGGGCTAACACTCTTCAGGGCCAAGACTATAATGGTTATGCTGTGGGGTAGTGATGCATGGCCTTTTGACACTTGAAAATGCCAGTTTTCTGGCGCTTAAGCACATGTGGGTACTGCCACTACACACATATATCATTTTATATGACCTTAAGGACAAGAGCCAACAAACCACTTCAGTAGTTGTCCCCTTAGGATCACGAACCATGTAGAAGGTACTGTAAGACCACTGTTAATGAGACATGACATTTCCAATTAAAGCCCAAGACTACTGGTTGCGTCAGTGGATCGTAGGTAAAGTATTGTTCACTGCAGTGATGATTACCCCTTGACTCTGTAGGTCATTAGAAAGCTACTCACTGAGGCCCCAGCCTGTGCTGAGAGCTGTGCTTCTTCAGGCAGCCTCTCGATTGTGCTTTGCATCTCTGTAGTGAAGCCCATGACCTCTGATGCGGAAACCTTGCTGAACTGGTGACTCCTGTCCTGACATTTCCCTCTGCGTTTCCACAGGCTCTTTTTGTTCAGAATGTTGATTGGGCAAATAGATGACCTTAACTGCCTTCCTCAGAGCACTGAGTTGCCCTAGTGGCTATTCTGGGGTGGAAGAGGCTGGGCATTTTATATTTATTCTCTTCGTTTTGTAGGAGTCTTCTGTTAACCAAGGTTAATCCTTTAGGGCATAATTTTATTGATGCACTGGGTCCTTATTTTTGTCTGTTTTCTAGCCAGTTGAACAGACTAGTTTCTCGGTAACTTACTGTCTGGTAGAGCTGGCTTTCCTGAGACTTGAGCTTGTGGCTTGTACTGGAATGAGACCACTATACCTATAGCTATTGGTGTTCAGATCCTGCACACGATAGCAGCCCGAGGGTAAAGGTGCTTTTCATTTTGAAGAAGATGGCTGTGTAGCTTGTAGGGCATATCACACCAGTGCCTCTCATGTCGTCTTGGCTCCAGCAGTGGAAGGGCTTGATGAGATCAGTGGTAAATTCTGCTTTCTTTTTTCCATTAACAAATGTAAAAAGTTGGACAAATTTTGTATTTAGCAAGCATAGGCCAAAAAAACATTTTAAAGAAAAGCCACAGTAAAACAAAAAAAACAGTAGCACTTGGATCTGCCTGAACAGAAAGAGCACTGTAAGTGTGTGTTGCAGGAGGAAATTCTTGAAGCTGCTTGTGTACTGTGTACAACATGCTTTCTTAATCATGCTCCTCAAATTGCCTGCCTAATTTGTGACTCCTTAGAAACTGACTGGGCCCACACAGACAGCAGGGCTGCAGCCAGAGCTGAAGGACAACATGTTGGCTGTCACATCCATGGACACTGGAGCCACTGCTTTTCCTGGACTTTGTAGAAACCATATTATTACTAGTCTCAAGTGCTTCAAGTGTCTCCTGCCACGTTTATCTGTCAGGCAGTACATAAGGTTTGCAGTTTTTATAGCTTGTATAGATCACAGTTGTGGAGAGAAAGAAACAGTAATATCTCAATGAATTTAAAAATACAGGCCTATTTTCCGTCCCTGTAGTTAATCTGAAATAGATTAGAAATTATTTATAGGAAAGAAAAACAGCAAAATCCCAAGTGTTGAGGAAGGACACTGTATGAAAAACAACTAGTTCCCTGTGATTTTTTGCCTTTGGGAAGGATGCTGTTAGTCCTTTTCCGAAATAATTATGGTTTTCTTTTTGCCTTTGGGTTATTTTCCTATGTAAACGATTTTTTTCTTTTGCATTATAAAGCTTTGATATTGTGCAAGATCTGCAAGAAGATGCTCACTAGTCTCAGGGCATGCTTAATATTCTGGGATATTCTTCTAATGCCAGAATTGGTTAAGTAATTACACACAATAGTCATGGCTCTGTTAATAAGCACACTGTCAGATCTGTAGCCTATGAGATTAAAGAACGTGTTCGCTTTTTTGAATAGCCGATCATTTGAATAACTCATTTCTAAAAGGGTGTTTTCAAATTCTAACAAATGCATTATTTCCTACAGAATTTAAATGTAAGTAGCACAGTACTGCACATTCAGGGAAAGTGTCAAGAATTTTGATTTTGAAGAAATCCTTTCTTAAAATTTGCATTGTCTGACTTAAGAATGGTTGTTGTATCAAGGATTTGTTTCCACAGTTTAGCAGATGTAAATAAGCATGATAGGATTCCTAAAGTGTTACCGCTGAGGGGGCCATAAGCCAGCCTGACTCAGGAAGCTGTAGGAAGAATGATCATGTCTGTCCATTTCATTTTACTGGTTTGCTGACTTAAATGTTGCCTTACAATGTTATTGAAATAAAAATTTTAACATACTAAGTTAGTTTCTTTAACAGAAACACAGATCTTTATTATTATGTTCTCCTGTATCCCCGTATTTGAAGAGTTATTTATTTCAAGTTTGCAGAGCCTTTTAAAGTCTTTTTAAGAATAGCTGTTAAAAGATCTAGACGGCTCATGTAGGTATAACTGCTGTTTTAATTGGTGATGTGAGCAAAGAAGTCAACATGGATATGTTAGTTTACTTCAACTGGAATCCTTTTCACCATGGACTGAAATTGTTTATCTGAATTCCACATAAATTAATGACCTTTTATTTGGTAAATGTTAAGCTTTGGAACATTTCGCAGTTTTAAATCGTCTCCATTGGCAAAGAAAATCACTGAAGTGCTAACCAAGGATGTTCTTTTACTGGGGGGTAGGGGTAGGAGGGAGGGAAGAAGAAATTGTCTTTCAACCAGAGTGATCCACATTCTAATCTCCACACGTGGAAAGGCACCACCACTCCCCAAAATAGAGTTGTGAGTTCCAAGATCTCTGTGCAAGTTATTTCGCTTTCTGAGTGAATTCCCTGGAAACAGTTCAGTACACGGTGAAGCAGCTGAACAACTTCTATTCCTAATACACCTTGCCTTCTTTTAGGGCCAATAAAGCCAAAATACATTTATTCCTCTTTATGTCTTTTTATTTGAAAAATATCTTAGGCACATTTGAAGTGCATTAATATTTTTTTGATACTATTTCCTTGATTTGTAAAAAATGTTGATAATTTCTTTTCTCTAAGTTTGGCCCTACACCATGACCAAGTGGGATTTATCCCAGGAATGCAAAGTTGGTTTAACACCTGAAAATAAATAGAATAAAGGACAACCACCATATAATCATTTCAATAAATGCTAAAAAAAATTTTTTTGACAGAGCCTAACGCCTTTTCATGATTAAACACACTCAACAAACTAATAACAGAAGGTAACTTCCTTAACTTGATAAAGGTCATCTATAAAAAACTCAGCTAACATAATTTATAAAGTCTGAAAACTTTCTCCCTAAGATCAGAAGACAGTGATGTCCACTGTTGCCACTTGCATTGAACATCGTACTGGAGGCTCTAGCCGGGGAAGTTTGGCAAGAGGCACCCAGACTAGAAAGGAAGAGTTAAAACTAGCTCTAGTTGCAGACCACATGATCATCTATATAGAAAATCCTAAGGAATCCAGAAAAAAACTATTACAGTTAATAAATCAGCAGTGTTGTAGGATCCAATGTCAATATAGAGAAATTAGTTGTATTTCTATATACTAATAACAATCCAAAAATAAAACAATTCTATTTGCAATACCATCAAGAATAAAATACTTAAGAATAAGCTTAACAAAATTACAAGGTTTTTACACCGGAAACTATAAAACATTGCTGAAAAATTAAAAACATAAATAAATGGAATGACATCCCATGTTCATGGATTGGAAGGCTTAATATTACGACAGCAATATTCTCCAAATTGTTCTACAGATCAAATACAACCACTATCAAAATCCCAGCTGCCGTGTGTGTCTGTGTGCACAAATTGACAAGCTGATCCTAAAATTCAGATGGAAATGCAAGGGACCCAAACTAGCCAAAACAGTATTGAAAAAACAAACTTAGGACTCATACTTTCAAAACTTCCTACAAAGTAGCAACAGTAATCAAGACAGTGTGGTACTGGCATAGACATATAGATCAATGTAGTACACCTGACAGTCCAGAAATAAACCCAGAACATTTATACTTGATTGATTTTTGACAGTTCAATAGGAAAAAAATCTTTTCAGTAAATGGTGCTGGGACAACCGAATATCCACATACAAAAGAACAAAGACCCCTCACTTCTTACCATACAGAAATATTAAATTGCATCAAAGAACTAAATGTAGAAGATAAAACTATACAACTCTTAGGAGAAAACATAGGCAGAAATCTTCAGAACCTTGGATAAGGTAATGGTTTCTCAGATACAACACAAAAAGCACAAGCAGCCGAAGAAAAAGTTGGACTTTACCAAAAGGAAAAATTCTTCTGCTTCAAAGGACAGTTATTATGAAAGCGAAAAGATAAATGACCCAATTGTGAAATGGGCAAAAGATATGCAAGACGTTTTTCTCCAAAGATATACAAATGGCTAATAATTATGAAAAGACATTAGCCATCAGGGAAATAAATGCAAATCTAAACACTAATGAGATACCACTTCATATGTAACTCGGATGGCTGTAACCAAAAATACAGACAATAACAAGTGTTGATGGTAGAAGCTGGAACCCTCCTCCACTGCTAGTGAGAATGTAAAAAATGGCACAGGCACTTTGGAGTACAGTTACGCATTTCCTCAAAAAATCAACCATTTATCATATGACCCAGCATTTCCATTCCTAGAGAGAACTGAAAACATATGTCCACAAAGAAACTTGTATGTGAATGTTCACAGTAGCATTATTCATTATAGTCAAAAAGTGGAAACCACCCAAATGTCCCTCAACTGATAAATGGATAAACAAATGTAGTATTATCCATAAAATGGAATAGTCAGCCTTAAAAAGGAATTACATACTGATATATGAAGATGAACCTTGAAAACATCATGCTAAGTGAAAGAACCCAGACAGAAAAAACCACATAAGATTCCATTCAGGCCGGCCCCGTGGCTTGGCGGTTAAGTGCGCACGCTCCGATGCTGGTGGCCCAGGTGCGGATCCCGGGCGCGCACCGAGGCACCACTTCTCTGGCCATCCTGAGGCCGAGTCCCACATACAGCAACTAGAAGGATGTGCAGCTATGACATACAACTATCTACTGGGGCTTTGGGGGGAAAAGTAAATAAATAAAATCTTAAAAAAAAAAAAAAAAAGATTCCATTCATATGGAATGTCCAGAATAGGTAAATCTATCAAGACAGAAAGAAGATTTAGAAATATAGGAAAATAGGAAAAATTCAAAATCATTTTTAATCATACCTATTAGAGATGATGCTAGTCTCCTCTACACTTAAATATAAAATTTTGTTTGGTGGAAATCATGGTATGCATAATAACATATCAT